CAGCCCCACCACCCCCAGTCTCTGTTCTCAGTGACAAGGCAGTGAGGCCCCAGCTAGCCCCCTTGCATCTACCACCCATCCCCCCTCCACTCCCCCTCTTGCCACCTTGTGGGTATCCGGGGCTCAACTCAGATGCTTCCAGCCCAACCCAAGATGTTCGGGAGCCTCCAGCCCCACCACCCCCACCACCTCCTCTCCCCATTTATGCCTCATGCACCCCAAGATCCTCTGTGCCTATGTCCCCGTTGTCAGGCACTAACAACATCGCTGAAGCCCCACCCCCGTTACCCCCCAAGTCCCCCAACTTTCAGGTCCAGCCATTGAAGCCCAGTGGGCCAGCACCGCCCGCCCCCCCTGGATCTCAGGCATTCCTGCAGAAGAAGCGTCCTGGCAGAGGCCCAGGTAAGCTCTGCCTATGTGGCCTGGGTTGATCATTTCACAGGGTCATTTGACTGCAGCCAGCAGTTATGGGGGCACTAGGGACACAATCAGAGACCTGCTACAATGAGCCACCCGAGAACATTTTGGATTATCTCAAGCCTTGGGATTTTGTTTTAGAATAGACCTATTTGATACCTATCCTGGAAACTTGTTTGTATGGGACTTTATGTTGGAAGTATTCATTTTAAGACAGGAGACCAAGGAAGGATAAGAGAAGATAGAGATTTTACCCAAGATCATACAAACCATAAGCCAGAGCTTCTGGCCATGATCCCCTTGCCTTTACTAGCTGTGTGGCCCTCGGCAGTCATTTAGCTTCTCTGTGCTTCCTTTTCCTCAGCTGTAAAATGTAGTAGCAGTTGCTCTCCCCTCAAGCACACCTTGACAGTGAGCTTTGGAGACAGGTATCTATTCTTATTATCATACTTTGGACTCTTTCCCCTACTCCCCAGATGTTGGGGACTGTGGGTGCCACCTGACTTACATCAACTCATTTACCCTTCTCAGCAGCCCAGGGAGGTGTGCATATTATTATTATTCCCACTTTAAAGGTGAAGAAACTGAAGCACAAAGAGCTTGTGCTGTTATCCCCAAAAAAAGAGCTGGATTCCATCCCAAGCAGGTTGGGTCCAGAGGCTGGCTGCTCTTTCTCTCCCTGTATCATATTATATCCAAAGATCTCGGCAGCTTCCCTCTCACAGAAGGTTATGGCCTCCAATGTCTCCATTCCTATATCTGAATACATTGTCATTTCTCTGTAAGGCACCAGCGGGGGGAAGCTAAATCCTCCCCCAGCACCCCCTGCAAGATCACCCACCACAGAGCTTTCCAGCAAGAGCCAGCAGGCCCCGGCCTGGACCCCAGCACAGCAGCTAGGAGGTCAGCTTCGGAACGGAAGCCTGAACATTATGGGTAAGCAGTAAGCGGGGCCCGCCGACCTGGTGCTGGCTACGAGCAAAGAGGTGGTTTCCCCTGGCCTCTGTGGGGTTTGCCAGCCCCACAATGCTATCATAGCCTGTGCAGAACAACTATAGTTTATGTTCCATAGTGTTCCTTCCAAGACTCATTGGAGGGTTCTAGAACCTATACTCCAATCTTCTGATTGAGATTAGAGAAAGAGAGGAAAGACAGCATTTAGACTGGATGTGGATGTATCTGTCTCTGTAGAGAAATTCATGAACAAGCATGAAGCCCTAGAGTGATTTGGACAGGATGAGAGGATGATGGAAGGAAACACCAGACAGGGGAGCAGGGCAAAAATATGAGGAGAGGGAGGAAAGTCACCTGGGGTCAGATGTGACCACAAAATCTCGGGATTCCTCCATGTACTGAGCTACTAGCCAGGTCCCAAAGCAGGGGATTAGTTCATGAGAGGGTCAACCTCTCCCCATTTGGCATCTGACACCCAAGGGAGAATTTGTTTGCTTTGAGGAGCCCTGGTCCCAGTAGGACACAGGACACCCCCCACCCCCGGCCAAGCTGAGGACTTCACTTCTTCCAACTCTCCTGGTAAAGCCTTCCCCAGGAGCCCAAGGGGAATTCAGGCAATGGGGCTTTGCTGACCCCAGTTGCTGCCCAAGTTGCTCCCTGAAGTCTGGAGCCTGGATACCCCTCTGACATTTCTGGTACCTGAAGGAGTTTCCTTAGAATCTTAGTTGGGGCATGTGAAGCCAGCAGATTCGATGTGAGCTGGATCCCTGCCCCGGAGCTGACCCACATGGCACAGCAGACTCCCTGTCTCACCTGCTGCTCCCCTCAGCAGTGTATTTCGTCGATCTGCCTGTTCTGCTCCTCACTCTGTGTCTGGTGAATCCTCTCACTGCCCCTGCACCTCTGGCCTGTACCCCAGGCCAGTATAAACAAATAAATAAATCTTTTAAAAAAGAAAAGAATGTTAGTTGACATGAGCTGAGGAGAGTCTGCTGATTCACTTTTCCTGATATCCTTTGTCCCAGCTACACTGCACAAATTGAGAGGTGGATGGACGTCTTAGGGGGATAGCACTGCCTCTCAAACCCTGCAGTGGTCAGCAAACAGAAAACAGTGTATTCAGTTGGTACAACCTATTGCTCCTGAAAATCACCAAAACTCGGGTCATTGCTAGAACCAGCATAACTTTGTCATTTCCTATGTGTGCAGATGACTTTGAGTCAAAATTCACGTTCCATTCTGTGGAAGACTTTCCTCCGCCTGATGAATATAAACCATGCCAGAAAATTTACCCCAGCAAGATCCCCAGAAGTAAGTATCATTTGGGTAAGATCCCTGGTTTTCATAATTCTCTGGAATTCATGCTCAGGATTCAATTTGTCTAAAGAGTGGCATCATGATTTCACTGTCCTCCTGCAAAAATGCAGTACTGTTCATACCTCTGAGAGTGTCAGAATGTTTAATTGTCCCAATTCATTCCCAAGGCTTCATTTAGAGGATTTGTATCAAATACCAGGGTTAATTATTTGGCATCAAATTTGTATGCCTGAATTTCCCACTAAATCTCTACTCCCTGGAGCTTTTTACAAGGGAGCCAAGCACACCAACACAACAAAAAATGGAATTTAGAAGACTTGCATTCATGTCTAGGGAAGAAGCTGAAACCCCCCCCAATTCAGAATTGCTGCAGTATATGAAAGGGAAAAAACTTTAGGTCAGTGGTTCTTAGCCTTGGTAGCACATTAGAATGTTCTAGGAGCTTTAAATCCCAAAGGTCACGCTATATTATACCTAAAGCAACAAAATCAGAATATCCCATTGGGACCCAGGTGTCAGTACGTTTGAAACTACCTGGTAATTCCAGAGTCCAGCTGAGTTGGAGAACCTCTCATCTGTGGGAACCCCCACTTGATTGCATTGCACAGCCAGGCTCCAAGACAAGCCTCATGTCAGCTTACCTCTCTAGTCCTAGCGTGGAAGAGGAAGACACTGGCCAGCCTGTGTATTAAAGCCAAAAGGACAGGGAGACAAGTACCTCAGGAGCACAGAAAGCCAAGCAAAGTAAGGTGGGCTGCAGTAAGGTGCTAGTTGACACGAGCCAGTTCTGAGCCAGTCTGACTGGGCAGGAGCTGGTAACAGGTAGCCGAGTAACAGAGGTGACGGGTCAGGTAGGTTTCCCATCCTACAACCTGAGTAAGATCCTAATCCCAGATGTCAGTGGGCAGCATGGAAAATCACCAGGGCACAAGGTTAGCCCCAAACCAGGAACTGGGCTTTCTGGCCCTCTCCTTTCAGGTCCTTGTGACTTCCCTTCTCCAGGGTTCAGTTTTCTGTAGAGCAGGCCCTAAGAGTATGAGTCTGGTCTCTGCTCAGTTCCTGGGCCGATTGTTTTCTGCTGGGCTGTAGGGTTGTACTTTTAAAGCAAAGTGGCCTTGTGCACTTTTTCAATAATATGTGAATATTACGTATTCAAAGTGGAGGGAAATCAGGCCCACCACCAAAACCTGTACAGTAAACAAACTGGCCAGACATCCTTACACATGCTGGCCCTCTCTAGGTGCTGCGCATGCCTCACCAAAGTCCTTAACACAATGAATTTACACAGGGGGAAAGTGATCCAGAGAGGCCAGGTAACTTACTCAAGGCATCACAGCAAGACACAGAAGAGCCAGGAATGTCAAATTCAAATGTGTCTATACCAGAGCCAGCACTGCTCCCACTCGCCATGGAAAGAAACCCTGAGAAGGAATGTGATTAGATCTAGGTTGAGACAGAAAACTGGTGACTTGATTGGAGAAGGTAGAGACCAAGTCAAGGAGAAAGCAAGATGGATGGGACTGAGAGTGCCAAAGTTTGGGGATCCAGGCCATTAGAGGAAAAAGGGAAGTGCTGGAGCAAAGGAGTCCCCAAGTATCTTCCTTGGGAGTGGTTCCTTGCTGTGGAACTAAGAAAGAGCAAGAGAAGACTGTTTTCAGGAGGTGGTAATTTATCTATCAGTCATGGTAAGAGGCACCCGGAGGTCTTCATGGAGGAGATGACATGGAGCAGATAGTACAGCAAGTACCCCAGTCTGGGATGAGATACCAGGTCAGGAGCGGGGACTTGATTTGCCAGTTTTTATTTTGGAAATGGAAATAAAGACCAGAGCAGGGTCATCATGTGGAATAAAAGCACCCCGATTCCCGTGCTCAGGAATCTCAAAACTGCTAGTGAACAGAGTCTGATGGGTACCTCCCAACACCATGGACTGTGGAGGCATTTAGCAAATTGACCCTTGGGACAGACAGCTCCGGGGGTTAAGGAGTTCCTTGTGCTGTAATCTCAGTTATATGTCAAGTAAATATAACCTATTTTTCGTCTTTTATTTCCTTCAGCTTGTTTGTGGTGTTGAAATACACATTTACTCATGCAGGCTAATTTCTTTCCCAAAGCCCGAGCTTGCTAACTGGCCATTTTCATGCCAGAAACTCTACTGCAGCACGTGAAGTGTCCTCCTGCCCCTGGGGCCTCTCTGCTGGTGACCCCAGCCTGAGCCAACGGGGTGGGCAAATGTTTACTCTTGAGGGCCAGAGAGGATGTATTTGAAACTCTGCAGGCCATATGGTGTCTGTCACAACTACTCAGTTCTGCTGCTTTAACATGAAGGCAGCCATAAATAACACATCACCAAATGGGCAGGCTGCCTTGTAGCAAAACTTTATTTACAATAGCAGGTGCCGGCTGGATTTGGCCATTCGTAAAGAGCCAATTCTTAAAAACTTCTTTCTGTTACATTTCTTTCTCAGATTGTGCCATAGAGTCCTTCAGCCTTCAGACCCAGTAAATTCTACTCTATGACTAGTTGCATTTTGAACCCCAGTACCCGGTCTCATCTCTGTGAGAAGGAAACTGTGCTCTACCCAGCTCCCCAGCTGGTTGCTCTAAGCAGTCTCTGCTGTGTGCCCCTCCTCCTGGAGAAATGCCTAAATACCTTCTCAGTGCCTCCACCAAGAAATAATCCCCCATGATTATGAAGGTGTAAAAGAAAAAAAAAATATTAATGAGCAGATATCCTACAGACCAGAAATGACATCTGCAGTTTCAAAATTAAGATACGGTTTTTGATTTCTGTGGCCTCAGTGAATGTAAACTACTTCAGTAACCTCCTGCACAATTAAATTAGTTTGTTCCCTGTTAGCCACCCCTGTTCGCCAGACTGCAGAACCATGTTAATTATATCAGTGAGTCTGATAGTGTCGTGCCTGTCAGTTTCATTTCTCCTTACACTTTCCCCTACTCACCGTTGACCTGGCTGGTTCAAGGTCTGGAGACACTGCTGGTTCTGTCAGATTGTGTCTACATGCCCCATGCTAGCAGTTCTGTTTCTCTCCCCCTCCTGGCTCTCCTTCCAGTTTTCACAGATACCCTAATGCTTCATTCTCCTATCTGCCTTGTCTCTATACTGCAGGTATTAACCATTTTCTTTCTTTGGTAGGGTGATTTTATCTAGCTCTTAAAACATTTTCAAAGGTAATTTGTTCTTCGATGAGCTAAACATAGAATTACCATTTGATCTGTGAATTCCCCTCCTGGGTGTATACCCCAAAGAAGTTAACAGGTGTTCAAATGAAAACTCCCACTCCCATTTTCACAGCAGCTCTATTCATAATGGCTGAAAGGTGGAAACAACCCAAATGTCCATCAGTGGATGAATGGACAATGAGCATGTGGTGTATCCATACAATAGGATATTACTCAGTGCAAAAAGTGTTGAAATACTGGGCCCTCCCTGGTGGTGCAGCCGGTGAAAGCACTGCACTAAGAAGCTTAAGCCACTTCCACATGAGTTCGATTCCCGCCTGCCTCGGAGGTGACCACATGGTGTGGCAGACCTCTCCTAACCCACCTGCTGCTCCCCTCAGAAGTGTACTTCGTCGATCTGCCTGTTCTGCTCCCCACTCTGTCTCTGGTGAATCCTCTCACCCTCCGCATCTCTGGCCTGTACTACAGTTCTGTATGAATAAATAAATAAATCTTAAAAAAAAAAAGTATTGAGATACTGAGGCATGCTGCAGCTGGGATGAACCTTGAGACATTATGCTGAAAGACACAGAAGGCTACATGTTCCACGATTCCATGCACGTGAACTACCCAGGGCAGATCAAGCCGTAGAGACAGAATATAGACTTAACAGTGGCCGAGGACTGGGAAAAGAATAGTTATAGGTTTCCTTTTGGAGTAATGAAATGTTCTGGAACATTTCATATAATAATGGGTATTATTACATTACATTTCATGTAATAATGGTTCGTTGATGTTGTGAATGTACTAAATGTCATCAGTGCAAATTTTTATGGTATGTGCATTTACCACTATAAAAAAAGAAGCTTCTCCTCTTGTCGCCCCTGCACCTCTGGCCTGTACCCCAGTTCTGTATGCATAAATAAATAAGTCTTTAAAAAAATTATAAAAAAAAAAGAAGCTTCTAAAACCCCAATCTGTAAGAATCTTTGGAGAGAATGCAGGGGTCATGAATATTTATTAGCATCCTGATGACAGAAAAAAATGAAGTCATTATCATACTGTCAGATACTTATTTTGGCCCTTTGTCATTGGAGAGATTTAGATAAAGTCCCCTGACACACCCTCAGATATTTGTATTTTGGTGGAAGAAGGTAGGAGAGACAGAAACCCAGCAAAACCATCCCTAGCATCTTAGTTCAGTGGGAAAGTGGCTGATTAGAACTTTGATTGTGCTTCCATCCCAACTCCTATCATTTTCACTTATTGTAGTTAAAAGAATGCATGATGTGAATTTATCAGCTTTACCACTTTTATGTCTACAGCTCAGTAGTGCTAAGTAGGTTCACATTGTGATACAATCAGTCTCCAAAATACTTTCTCCCCTTGCAAAATTAACACTACATTCACTCAACAAAAACTGTAAGTCTCTCCTCACCCAGCCCCTGGCCCCCACCCTTCCATTCCCTGTCTCTATGAGTTTGACTGTGCTTGGTACCTAGTTTGATTTTTTGAACTTTTAATGGTATATTTCACATACAGTTTGATTTTTTGAACTTTTAATGGTATATTTCACTAAGTTCATCTATGTTGTAGAATTTTCTTTCTTTTTATAAGTTTGACTATTTATTGTATCTGTGTATCACACCTTGTTATCTATCCATCAGTGGACACTGGGTTGCTTCTACCCTCTGGCAGTTGTGAATATTGCTGCTATAAGCATGAGTTCATAGCAACCATCTCTTTGAGACCCTCTTTCAGTTATTTTGTGTCCAAACCCAGAAGAGGACTTGCTCGATTATGTAGTATTT